AAATCTCGACTGATGATTTTCTTAGGAGTTAAATTTCCTTTGTCATTTTTGTTGGTAGATTGATGATGTGTATATATATATAGCATCAGTGTCGTTAGTAAATAAGGTTGGTTATTTGCATATAAATCCCTTAAATCATGGGTATTTGTAGAAATACCGCACAAATATTAATATTTACAAAATTGCATCTCAAATCATCAACTCTGTGAAATACCCCTAAAATCAACAAATCATCAACTTAGTGCTAAAATTTGACTTTTTTTTGATAATTTTAATGTTGTGATTACAAATTAGCTTATTAACAATGATGTTTAATTGCTTTGAAGGTAATTTTTTTCACAATTGAAGACTTATTGGTACTTTTGTAAATACTGAGATTTAGAGTGTATTTTTGCAAATACCCATGATTTAAGGGGTATGTATGCAAATAACACATTCAAATGGAAAATATTACATTTTTAAACCTTCAGATTTTATCACCAACTAATTGTTCAAATGAGATGATAAACTCAATTTAACTAAAGATAATCTTTCTAAAATTTAACTTTATCACCATCACTTACATTTTTCATCAAGTAATAATTCGGATAAGATCATAAACTTAGTTTAGCCAAAGATAGTCTTTCTAAATTTTAATTTGGTGCTTAATATCTAACTATTTTGTTGATAATTTTTATATAGCGCTTACAAATTAGTTTATCTATCAATGTTTATGATTAATTGCCTTAAGGATATTTTTTGAATATTGATGGTTTGAGGAGTAGTTATGCAAATACTAAGATTTAGAGGGTATTTTTGCAAATACCTATGATTTAAGCGGGTAGATGTGCAAATAATCCATTCAAATAGAAAGGATTATGTTTTTAAACCTTTAAAATTTATCATAATGAGATGATAAACTTAGTTTAACGAAAAATAATCTTTTTAAATTTTAACTTTATCATCACCATTCAAATTTTTTTTATTAACTATTAATTTGGATCAGATGATAAACTTGGGATAACTAAAGATAATCTTTCTAAATTTTAACTTTATCATCATCATTAGGATATGATAATAATGTAATATACAAAAGGGTCAAAGGTAATACTAATCTTGAAAAGTTTTTTTCGAAACTCACACTTTTCTAAGGAGTATATGATTTAATTATTTCCATTAATTTTGTAAAGTCGAGGTAGGCTAATATTAATGGTACCCAACATGAGAATACTATCAACCCAGTTTTAAAATTTGGAGTCAAAAAATTAAAATCATAACCGGTAGGTGCAATCTATTGCACATGAACTACTTAGAAATAAAATTTCCAAGGATTCCGATGTGTTTTGAATCATGTATCAAGAGGCAAAAAATCAAACAACTTAAGAAAATTTGAAAATGTTGATTCAGGGGTGAATGATATTAAAATCCTTTAAAATTTTATTTCTAGATAGTTAATGCGTATAGATTACATCCGTCGATTTTGATTTTTATTTCCCGAGTCTAAAGTTTAAAATTAGGTTGATAGTGTTCGTATGTTAGATACTATTATTAATAGTCTCTCAACTCAATTTTGTGTATCCATAGTATTGAGTTAAAATTAGTATCAAGACTATACAACGTTTTTCGCTCTATGATATGATAAATCCACTCTTGATTCAATTCTAGTTGCTAATGAAATGATACATTTTTGTTCCAAAAAGAAAAAGGAGGTGGCCATGCTTAAGATTGACTTTGCTAAAGCTTTTGACTCTATCAGTTGGAGTTTCCTTATAAATTTGCTAAAAGCTAGAGGGTTTGGAGATAAATGGTGTTCCTGGATTTATCATATCATCTCTTCTTCAAATTGTGCAGTTCTTGTCAATGGTTCTCCATCCAAGTTCTTTAAATGTAAAAGAGGTCTTAAACAAGGAGATCCCCTATCTCCTATGTTGTTTAACATATCAGTTGATGTTTTGAGTAAAATGATTATGTGCAATGTGGAAGAAGGATCCTTATCTAGTCTGCACATTAAGGAACCTCTAAATCTAATAAGAAGCTTACAATTTGCAGATGACACTCTAATTTTTGTTAAAAGTTCTATCAAAGACATATCTGCTCTCAAGACTATCTTATATATCTTCGAAGATATCTCTGGTCTGGGTATTAATTTTACAAAATCATCTTTGATTTATTTTGGGAATATTCAAAACAGAGGAGACTCTCTAGCTACAGCTCTAAACTGCAAATTAGACAAACTATCTAAATACTTAGGCTTGCCTTTGAAAGGAGGCAAATTATCTAAATCAGATTGGCAACCTTTGTTAGATAATTTGCACCGAAAGCTTGCTTCTTGGAAGAGTAACTGCTTATCTCTGGGAGGTAAATTAGTACTGTTGAATTCGGTTCTATCTTCCATCCCGTTATATTTTATGTCTTTCTATAAGCTACCAGTACGGTTGATCAAAGACATTGACAAAATTAGGAAGAATTTCCTCTGGACAGGAAAAAGTGATTCAAAACCTTTCAAATGCTTGGTAAATTGGAAAAGGGTTTGTCTAAGCAAATCAGAAGGAGGTTTGGGAGTGAAGAACCTCAGAATTTTCAATCTATCTCTACTGTCCAAATGGTTATGGAAATGCTATAACAAAGAATCTTTTATTGGAGCTCTCCTTCATCAACTCTATATCAGAAAAGTTTCTTTCTTGCAATTAGCTAATAGCAATGCCTGCAATTCCCCTTTTTGGAATGATATCATCTCATATAAGGAAGTCTTTCAAAATTTCATATCTTGGTCTCTTGGTTCAGGAAAGAAAATCAGATTTTGGGAGGACAAATGGACTGGTTCTAAAAGTCTATCAAGTTTATATCCGTCCTTATACAGGCTAGCTTTCTCCAACAATGTCTCCATTAGTAGTCAAGGCCGCTACCAAAATAACTTATGGCACTGGCACCCTCTGCTGAAACGTAGCATCTCATCTGAATCACTTAAAGATAAAACTGATCTCTTGAATCTTATTAGTCTGCATAGTGTGACAAATCAGACTGACTTTCCTCGATGAATCTTATTAGTCTGCATAGTAGTCAAATATGCTTTCTACAAATTAGCATGGAATCCTATTTTGCCTAGCAAAATTCAAATGTTCACTTGGCTTCTTTCCCAGAACCGATTACATACTAAAGATAATCTTATGAAAAAAGGGTGGCAAGGAGATCCTAATTGTGTTTTATGTGGCATTCAGTCTGAAACAAAGAACCATATCTTCTTCCAATGCACAACAGCTAAAGTGGTCTGGCAACACTTTAGAGATTATTATTTACCTTTCTGTTAGCCATCATCCATAGATGATCTCCTGATTTCTGTTTCAGCCTTGCATAATCTGGATGGTATTTTGTGGCGCACTCTTATTTCGACTGTTTGCTGGTTTATATGGTCTTCAAGGAATAAGTTTATCTTTGATCAAAAACCTTTCTCTGCTCAGTCAATTATTAACACTTCGATACTAGCTCTTCATGATTGGGCAGGTTCTGGTAAAAGGAATGCAGCTCTTTAGTTAACAAAAGTTTTAAAAGAGAAGCCTATTGTTCGCAGCAGTGGCTAAGAAAGTTGGGGTTTTTTGGTATCAGGTTTTGTTTGTACATATTAAATATTGATGTTATACTTTTGTTTTACAATTGGTCTATAGAAAATTTAATTTCTTTTCTCCAAATGTATGGCCGGCTTTGGTTCTCCTTTATATCCATGTCAACGATGAATGACGGCAAGACCCTCTCTTCATCTTCATGGATGTTTGGGAGAAGAAGGTTATACATCAATAGTCAAGAGAAATTAAGTTTTCTATCTACCAATTAATGGATACAATTCGTATCCTTCTTTTGTAAACTACTTTTGATTTTAATGAACAGGGTATATCCCTTGTTTTTTCTGTCAAAAAATTTTTTCCATAGAATTAATGTTCAATTTCCCCCCTTTATATGGTTTATATCATGTGATGCAATATAGAAGGTAGGTTTTTCGTGATTAGTTTTTTTTCTTGGTCTAACATTTAGGCTTATAAAGAGTAGGTGGTCTTAATTTTATAATTTTCTTATTTAATAATATCGGTACATGATTATAATACCTTAATAAGTAGATTACTTTTCTCTGTATGTTGTTGAAGATTTAAATTATTTTGTTTTTGTCTGAAGACAGTTATTTGTTTCTGAATTTCTTATTAGTCCATCACTACCTGTTCGAAATATTTTTAATATTAAAGAATAAAAAATGAAAATAATTCTCGAGTCTGCTGACCAAAGACTTGGTAGTTAATTGGAGTTAAATAATTGTGGCGTGTATGCACGTGGTGTTTTGAACATCTTTCATCATAAAGTCACTTGGTTCATGCACAAGACCAATTCATGTGCTCAGAGCTCCTGCATAAATTAAATGAAAACCTGATATAGAGTTGATAAAATTTGACCATTTAAGTTTATATTTGTGAAGCACAAAAAATTATATTATATAAGAAGAAGAATAATAACAACAACTACTATTATTATATTATTATTATTATTATTTATGGGTTACTTGAGTATAGGACCCCGTAGTATCCCCAGTTGCAGATATACCTCGATACTTCTTTTTACGCGGATAGTTCTTTTAAGTAAATTGTTTTGAACCTTAAAATAGTCAAAAAAAAGTTCCGAGGAGATGGATAGACTCCTTATAGCTCTATGAGTGAGAATGGACTGCAACTGCTAATTATTGACTCATAAAAGAGTCGGAAAAAGTTCACTAAAAGGGTGCATTTCCACCAAAGCTAATACTACAGGAGGCATGTCCGCACAAATAGAACTACGGGGTGTCTATTCTCAATGGAGTGATACTACAGGGTGTCCATCCACAGATAACCCTATTATTATTTTGCTAGTCGTCAGAATACTCGTAAATGTTTTATGCAGCTTAAAGAACATTAATATTGGGCCATTGTTTTTGGGCCCAAAATCCGCTAGGCCGGGCCCTCAAACCCGATAATTCTCTCCATCAACTAACTGGTTAAAAAAAACCCCAGAAACTCGTTACTGTCACCGCCGGTGAGCTTACCTCCAACCCACACCCCCAAAGTTCCTCATGGATCGCTGGACGGGCGTCGTCAAAACCCCCATCTTTAACCTCACTGCCTCTCTCCTCTTCTCCCCTTCCTCCAAAACCCTAATCGTAATCTCTCACCCCTCTCATTCCCCGCTAAAACCCTAAACCCTAACCCTAACCCTAACCCCAATTCTTCCTATTTCAGGCGCCTTCGATCAACGCGATCTTCTTCAACGGCGATCGAGTGCGGGGCACGGGGAATCCAGTGATCGAGAGGCTCTCGGATTCGGGATTCATTGCTCAATTGCTCGTGTCGAAGCTCGGGAGCTCAGCAAACGCTTGGGTTTTCGAAGCCGAGAGGTTCAATGGGCCGTTTGCAGTTTACAGAGAGTTCGTGCCGTCGGTGGATTCGATGGGGGATCCTAAGGGGTATGATCCTGATGGGTTCCCTGCTTCTGTCAATGTTGCTAGTGTTTTGTGTGAGGCTGTTCAAAAGGTTCGAATTTGTATATATTTTTATTTATTTTTTATTTGTTTTTTGCTTTTTGTACTTAGGAGTAGCCAATCTGGTATGATGTAAGACAATCAAATGCAAATACATGCTTATACTGTATGCAAGATTGTTTATATCTGCCTGTTAGCATACGGACGCAACACACATACAAGCATACGCGCACACGCACTCGCATGCTACGCTCTGCCCACGCCCCTTCGCATGTGCGAATCGGTACTTGCGCACCGACATGCACACATGCTCCCGTGCCCATGCACACACGTACATGTGTATGCACTGACACTCATACAATACAAACGTACACGGGCACACAAACACGCATGGTATCATATCCCCCAAAAGATCACTCAATGACATCACAAAACTGTTCAATATTATCAGCGCAACATGTATTACCGACCAGTATAATGGTGGAAACATCGTATATACACTTGCTTTTTTCAAACATATGGCACCATTAAAAGCAAGTGTGATAATGTCTAGATCATCATATTGTCCGGTATGTCCATGTTAATATCGTTTCACATTTGCAAACAATGATTTGAAGAGGCTAATTGATTGAGTATATACGCTCGTGCAAATATTGTCGAGTTGAACTAGCTACTATTAAGAGCATCCAATATGTGGATACTATACATAATTGAAATCCAAGACATCAGGTGTGATATACTATACATAAACTATATGGAAATAATATATCAAAGTACTTCCTCGTATTTTATCCATGTATAATATGTTATCAAAATTAACATTTCGGAATTTTCATATAGTTGCTTAATTTTTGCCGCCTCCATACATGATGCGAAACACATCAAACTCTTTTGCTGTTTTATTTCTAAGTAGTTAGTATATTTACATCACATCCAACAATTTGGATTTTCAACTTAGGAATCCTATTTTTAATTTGAACCAATAGTATTTACATATTGGATAGGACTAATAGTCAATTATTGCATTTATATACATCTTCTTCAGTTTTTTTCTCATCGCATAAACTGACATCTCCCACATATTCAATATATTTCTTTCTGCTCTTGTTTGATTTTAGACATCGATTTCTTTTTTCCAAACATTAGTGCCGTGACATTTTCTGATGGCCATCATCAGATCAAAAGCGTATTGTCGAGCATGCCAACAGAATCAGCAGCAGCCGGCGTACTTTCTTCTGCAACTCCGCCAGAAACTGCTCTTCCTAAAACAATCATTTTGGGATTTAGCAAGGGTGGGATTGTTTTGAACCAGATCATAGCTGAACTTGCTCACATGGAACCTCAATCATCCTATACAATACAAGATCACGTCTGTCCTATTTCAAAGGATGAACTTTTATCTACCATCTCTGAGATCCACTACATCGATGTTGGCTTAAACAGGACAGGAGCATATTTAACAGACAAATCTATTATTAAAAAAGCTGTTGAAAACTTGCTGGTGAGTAATGATCGGGTTCGTTTTATACTTCATGGAACTCCGAGACAATGGTGTGATAAAAACCGACCATGGATTTGTAAAGAGAAAGACTTTCTGCTGAAACTGCTTAATGAAGAAGCTCAAAGAAGTGAAGGAAAATTGCAGGCAATTGAAAGGTACTATTCTATTAATATGCCCCCTAGTTTGCAAATGCATTTTGAAATAATTGAAAGTATGGATATCAACTGAGTTATTTTCAGCTTATAACAATAAATGTTGTTGTACAATTTATTTCTCAATGTCAGAAATATCAGTTTGATTTTGCTGATCTTTCTTTTTTATTTCTTCCGCCATTTTGTATGTGGTGCTATAGTTTGCTGCAGTCACTTTGCTTCCAACCTCATCAAATCCTCAATTCCATTTGTTGAAGTATTTGAGAATCCATATTTTTGTTTATGTATATATAGTATTGCTACTAATTCTTTTACCTATAATTTTTCTCAACTTTCTTATTTTCATTTTGCTTAAATTTAGTTCTGCTGAGTACATTCTTTGCTGCGATAACAGTGTATATTACTTTAGCAATAGTATGCTATATCAAGTCATACATATACTGCAACCTTGAAAAAGTTACTTCCCAGAAATAGAGAGATGGAAACAATATCAAACCTCTAACAAACAACCATCTCTTACTGCAAAGAAGCAGCGTGGAGTATTGTGCTTGGAGCTATTGACTCGAAGTATAAGCTGAAGAGGTATTTGGATCCTCTCTTCTGTCGAGTTCACTTCCTTAACTATAGCAATAAATCATTTACTAGACACTTTTAATTTGTTTAGGTGAACATTAAGACAAACACCATTCACAGGATTTATGATATGTATAGTAAGAATGTCGTCTATATTTAATGAATGGTTACTGACATGGGTCAGATAATAACCTTAGAAACAAACCTGCAGAAGTGAGGAACCTAAAGTTAACCCGAATTCAAGACATTGTCAAGATGTCATAGTATGGCCTTGGAATTGCACTAATGAGAAAGACCATAGATGATTAAATCTGACAATTTTTGTGATACCTGGTTGGTCAGTGTGGTTATCGATCCTTGAGCCAGTCAATACGGAACTATCAATATTGTCAAAATAACAATATCGAAGGTATAAAAACTCCCCCCTCATGGAGAGAAAGATGCACACAAGCAAAACCCTAAATTCAGTTACTGATTATTTTCGCATCTTCAAGATACTGACTTGAGCATCAGATGGGCAACACTGGGCAATAATCTCGATAATCATCTCCTTGTAAGTCGTATGCATATCTGCATGGACGCGTTACCTGGTCTTGCTAAATAAATAAAAAAAGTTATTTATACTTGGCTGATTAGCCGAATTTGATTACTTGATGAGGCATCAGTTACCGGGTTCCTATACTATCAGACGGAGTATCCAAATTCAAGAAGAAAGTAGTAGGTTAACAGTGTGTTAGTAGTTTCTTTACCACCATAGCAAGAAGCAAAGGCTATTCAGATTCAAGAAGTACAGCATTTTTTTTTTCTCTATTCAATTTCTTTTCTGCTCCAATATTTCACTGGAATCAGAAAAGCTTGATGCTAATGACGGAGAGCCTCAAAACAACCTCTACGTCCCTTTCAGCAGCAGATGACAAGAAAAGGGTCCCTCCCTCAGACCCTCCTGTTTCTTTTGCATCACAAAGAGATATCCCATGGGTTGTCTCTTTGCATTGCATAATTGCATTCCATCACAGTTGACCTCTGATTAATTCCTCTCTCTTTCGTTCTACCTGTCTTTTTTTTGTCTTCGCTGAAAAAGAGCAGGTAGAGACGTAGCAACAAGGGGTTCTGAATTTTTCTTCTTATCATTATTAAAAGAAGAAGAATAATCATTGAAGGTGATGCTGATTTTGTTTAGATATCAGTTGAGTGACGTTGTTGCATTTGGTGTAATATAATATTGGTTGGTTGTCCATGCCGTTTGGGCTCTGTTGGCTTTATGTACATATTCAAACTTTAGTTTGCAGACTGCAGTTGTAATTTGTAAAGTCCAATTATAGTTACAGTTGTGATAGTTTGTGTCGTTACAACTGCAATTATGGAAAAATAAGTCATTTACTCCAAGAACGGCGTTTGGTCAATTTACTCGAGTTTTCTTTTTGTAATGGGTTTTGCTAATGGGTACCCATGAGCACTCATTATAGGATGAGCGAGATGGAGAAGATGTAACGAGAGAAATTCGTGCAAATCATGGAGATCATGTTTGCGATTTATTTTTCTTTATCTCTCTCATTTCCATATCCTAACGAATTCTCATGGGTAGTTGGGTACCCATTAGAAAAAATTCTTTTGTAAATATGGTTACAAAAATTTGCCGCTATTTTGTGATGAGAAATCACTCCCAATATTTTATTTTATTTTTTCTTATTGATATGCCCAAATTCATTATTCAAAGCATCCCCCGACTCCCCTCCCTTTTTATTACAAGATAAGCAACAGAAAGGACAAAGACTTTGATAAAATGCTACGCTCACAAGCTCATCTTATCATCTTTCTTAGGTGGAGTTCAAGGATTCTATGTGTTGCAATCTTCTTCATTGACTCTAGTTTAATTTTTTTTTTAAAGGATAAAATATTAATGAATATCTCAACAATAAATAAAGAAAAGGAGATTGTGCTTGTTAAATTACCTATAGAAAAAACTATACCAAATACTGACCCTTGATTGTCTTATTTTACCTTTCCAAAATCTCATCATATGTTTCCACTTGTGAGTTTAAAGACTCCTCTTCTGATGGAACGTACAAGCACTTCTAATCTTTAAATATTATTTTCATCTAGAAATTAAGCGAAAGATTTTGATACAGTGAGAGAATCAACATCCAGGGATATGTTTGATTATGTATAGTTAAAGAAGCAATACTTTTCTCGGCAACATCCAAAATCAACTCGGACGGATTATACAGTGTTTCTTTTTTAAATTTATGGAAAACTAGAAATATATTAGCTTCAGAGGGAAATTTAAACATGCTTCAATGTCCTTAGCAATGCAATCAGGACAAGATTACAAGCACTAAAATGAGCAAGTGAATGCGCTGCATTATATTCCTTTTCCTTTGCGTGAATAAGAACTGTTTCTGCTGAAAAAGACTTGCCTCCAACTTTATTGCATCGCATATTATGTAACCATACAAAGCCGAACTATCATTCTTATTTGCTAGATGCATGATACATTGGTTTGATAGATGTTTTTCCAACTACATTAAATAATCATTTAAACCTTCAATAAACAATCAATTTAGTTAAGCTTTTAAATAGTAAAGACTAGCCTAAAAGTACCTTTTCCTTTCTTTTTTTGGCTAACGTTATGCCAACTTTATCTTAATCAACAACTATGCCCAACTATTATCTTAATCACATATGAAGATCCAAAACTCTACACCTAAATATAGTTCTTTGAAGGGCTAACTTTAAAACCTAAAACCCATAAACTGTTAGTGGCTTCGCAGAAAAATAAGCATAAGCTACCATTATTCCAGAAAGTATCATAAATTTTCCAAAAGATTATTCATGAATTTCTGCTTATGGTTTACAAACTACCATGGATTTTCTGATAAAGTCACTGAACTACAACCAACTTTATACTGTTATTGTTAGACTGTCATTGACTGTCATTATCACATAAAACAATCATATACATTTCTAATAGCCCGCATTACTTTTCTAATTATATTAAAGTTGTGGTATTTTCCTCTAATAAAACGATTTTATAATATGTTTGTATGGTGAAATTTGTCTTTCTTGTACTGGCATTGAAATGTCACGCAGATCAAAAGTTTGCAACCAAAACAAACATAAAAATTGAAGGCGCCTGCTTCTTCTCCACACGTCCACAATGACACACGGAGTGAATTAGTCTGTTTCTTCTCATAACGTGGTAAATGAGAGTCATGCTGACCAAGACTTCAGTCCTAATTGATTGCACGTGCTTGTATATATATCAACCCTAATACGTACTGACTATTAATAATGAGCCAGAAAAGTCAATAAATATCCCTTTGCCTAAAATTCTAGAGGAATTAGTCCAAATTAACGCCAAAGTCCAAGGCCTTGATTTGACAGTTTAAAGTTCAACTATATTTTTGGTCAGCATTATTCCAATTATGAGGAACTTTGAATTCTCGTCTGCATTTATTTATATCCTTATCCTTCTTTGAGTTGAATTTTCTTTAATAATCTCAATATGGAATTTAATCATATAGCTAGAAATCTTCAACTGAAATAGAAACATGCGTTGGTCCTTTACTAGTTAGATGAAACTTTAGTTTTTGAAGTTTTAAGTAGAAGTTATAGTCTAACTTCTAGAATTGAAACTTTATACTTCTGTACCACTAAGCTAATAATATATACTAAGTGACAAAAAAGTCTTTTGATGTTGAAAATTCCTTCTTTACCGCTAAGCTAACGATATACAAAGTGACAAAAAGTCTTTTGATGTTGAAAATTCCCATTATTGCTTATGAGCAAAATTATGTAAACTTAAAGTCTAATCCAAAAATCTGAGCCCCTTCATCCAAGTCATCAAGTCATTGCACACCAGGTTAATCTTTTTTATTGGTGTTGCTTTCAGGTACACTGTTAAGTTTTTGTAATTTACAGCTTATCATATTGTATATGTGTTGAGTTATTTCATGTAAGTCATGTTAGTAAAAATCTGAATTTATGATCAAAGTAATAATTTAACGCTCAGACAACTTTTGAAATTAAGGGTAAACTTGCAAGATGAGAAATCAGTACAATCATTATACAATATTAGCACAAATTGTAGTATGAATATTGTATCAGTGCTATATTAATCATTAATAATGTATCCGTGGAATTGGAATATCGTAGTACTGCACTTCCCAACTTTAAAAATATGTATTGAAACATATTCCTTTCTTCCTAGCTATATGATTTTATATATTTTTCAGCACATTGTATGATGTTGTCTACTATATATATATATATGGTAGAGCTACAAGCCTACAACTGAAGTTGCAAACCAATTAATTGTTACTTGCACATGATTAAATATTACAATTACTATTGCATGCGATTACAATTATAGCAGCGAGTTCATTTTTAAAATTCTTCAACTTTTAAAGCTGTTTGGTTCTACTTAGAACTCTTTATAGGCCATTTGTTTCTTCACTTTTAACGTAAATAAAAAATGTTACTAGTTTATTTTTTGGATAATTTCAATACCCAATTTTACTTTTCCCAAGAAAAAAATAATTATAACTTTTAAAGAAGGAAATTTATTTTCCATTTTTTGAATTTTTAAAGAAGTTCATTAATTTTTTTGTGTGATCTTGGAAAAGGTTTTGTACGTTTTAAGAATTTTAATATATATTTTTATAACTTTTCTGGAGAGCGTTTATCTTTCATCTCTTAATCTTTTTCTTTATTAAAAGAAGCATGACTT